GCTACTGGCAGGAAGGATGCACTCATTTGCTCAGTGTCCCATGGTTGTGAGACCAGGGAACATCCAGATCCATGCTGTTTCCAGCTGGGACAGCTTGCAGACATGGTTTCACTCTACCAGGCTACTTATGTCTCGGAGATTTGGTTATTTTATGATTACACCTCCTTGTACCAGTTTGAGCGGACCACCGATGCACAAGAGCAGAGCTTCCAGCGAGCCATGGACAACATGCACGTCATGTACCATGGACAAAAGAAACAAACAGACCCGGATGGCCTCCAAGTACCTTTTGAGAAGGTGTTTGGGGTGGGTTTGGAGGGTCCAAATACCTTCTGAGGAGGTACTTGGAGGTATAGGGAGAATGTCTTTTCATCCCCAGTGGATCCAGGCAAACCACTAAGTCGTATATACACTCCCGAAAACCCACAATTCGACCCTGACTGTCTGGCCCCACTGGAAGAGTGGTTTTCCGCTACCAGGCTCTACCAGGGTTACCAACCAGTGGTTTTTCAGGGTGTAACTATAGTGGTTCCAGTTCGACTCAAACAGTCCACCAAACGAGGGCCCCCTGGTTCCTTACTCGAAGTGGGCTGCCTGGGATCCACTGGGATTGGTGAACCCTCCTTTGGGGGCAAGATGGCTGTGAGTGAGTCATGGCACCCTCCCCCACCCATCCATGGTAGGTTGACATACCCGAACATAGGAATTTGTCATAATTTGTTCGGGGTCAACCAGGTTGTTTTAATGTTTTTCTTTATTTTGATCCACAGGTACATGTATATTTTCTTAGGCTCCTGATCAGCCAATCCCAGGTATTCGCATGACTTTAGCCTGACTCTACGTATCGAGGGCCTTACGCCGGAGCCGATTTGGAAGGCCATGTTGCAGGATGAGACCCAGAAGATCCCCGTGTATCATGAAGCCAGCAAATCGATCCAAGCTCTGCCCTTGAAAGACCTGATGGAGAACCGCACGCAGTATCGTGGCCGCGGGTGGTGTAAAGCCGAAGTGGAATGGTCCTCCGCACGCGGCATCCATGCGCAAAATCAACGGATCGATGGTTCCGATCAGGCCGAGGGCGAACTGGCGGGGCGCGTGCCCTTGACACCAGAGGCCTTCGCGGAGGAGATGCGACGAGCCGATTTCACGCACCGGAATGATGAGGGAGCTGCTTGGTGATTGGACATGATTGTTTTCCATACGTAGCTTCAACTCAGTTGGTGACCGAACCAACTGGAGTGCCTTACTAGACCTAACTGACAGGCCCGTGCCGGTAACCCTCAAAGTGGGAGATCAATCAAGTGATATCAAGTTCGGTCACGAACTGAAGAACCAGGTTGCTGGTTCTTTTTGGGGTCTAACCTGCAGTGGAAGATTGATCATGATTGATCAATTGAGGATTCTGATTGTTCAGGTGGGTTCAATCCACTCAGGCTGTCATCCTGCTTCAGAAGAAGATCTTCTTTGAAAAGGTTACCCGATGTCCTGAAGTGATCTTGCAGCAATTGCGAGAAGCGGAAGTGGAGCAGTTGGTCAAGTCCCTACAACACTATCAGGACTGATCTAATTGGTCCCAGTCTGTTCCCAAATAGATCAAAACAGTTTCCAAGACATATGTTCAAGTGGTTAGGAGCATTGAGGCATCGCCTACCTATCGTGTATATATACATATCATTTCTAGTGACATTTCTTGGCAGTACCCAGAGCGCTTGGATTGAGTGGTCGAAACCGTGTTTGAGCAACCCTTGCCAGAGTTCTGATGAGTTTTTTGTATGCCATTATATATACACATAAAGCAAGTACTGTGACACTGGAAGCACTCTCACAGCAAACATACTTATACATAGCTTATACCTTTGACTAAAGCACTGCAGGAACTTCAGCTCCGGTCCTTCCGTTTGCTGAATTGAGGAGCTCCGGTCCTTTCAGCTGAATTACTTCCAAGGCACTCCCGCTTTGGCCCAACGGTTGGTCGAGGAGCTGCTGAAGCCGGACACCAAACTGGAAGAGCTTCGGATCACCTACGCCGATGGTCGCTACGGTGGATGGAAAGGCAGCATGCCGGGCACTGGGAATGCCTTGGCCGAGGTGGGCGATGGGCGGCCGATGGGCGGGCACTGGGCTCCAGTCGTACTGGGCTGGGTGTTTGGATCCCTCAAACCCCAGTCCCACCTGAGGAAGTACGACTGGAGCCCTATAATCGGGATGAAGGGATGAGAGGACCATGCGAGGGCCAGGTGAAGTAGCTCAGTGGATCCCACGGAAACCACGAGTACTAAGGAATCATGTATAGGGATTCTTTAGGTCTATGGTTTTAGTTGAACTGGAACTCCCAGCAAACTAGTGGTGGTATCCGGATGCTCTGGGTAGGTGACTGGAGGGTCGCTCTCACAAGGTGGATCCTTCCTGATGTTTGTTGTTTTTGCACAGTTTTTTTGTCCACGTGTTGTTTCTCAAACAGTTTACGGTTTTTACTATTACAGCTGACGCCAGAAATTAAAGTCCTGCTGAAATTGTTTGGGGTCTATAAAGGTATACTCTATAAGTTTTATGCAACACAAGTTGAGTTGTTTTAAACGCTGGGACTGCTAAACATGATACACTAGAATTTGCTCTAAGCTATTTGTTGTTTTCCTTTGTTCCTCCAGGCGTTTTTTCCTTCCCGCACACCTCGCAGCATCTCGGTGGGTCAGGCGTTGGGTGCCAAGCTGCCGGTGAATTCCACTCTGAAGAAGATCGAGTTGTCCTACAATGACATCACGACCCAAGGTGCCGAGGCACGTCGGGACGCGCCTTCAGCACCTGGCCGATCAGCGGAAGACATATCGCAAGGTGGGGTGTATACCTGAGGATGAAGGAACTCAAATCCACCTGCAAGACAGCTTGGGGCTGCAAAAGCATGCAAAAGGAGACACCCCACTCAACAACAGGAAGCTTTTTGGTTTAAAGAGCCACGTCGTCGTCCTTCACCCTGGATCTTCCTCGTTTGTTTGCAGAGAATCCTGGAGAAACAGATTCTGACCCAGGTCCGACCCGGAGTTTCGGACCATTCCCCATGGTTCGGAGGCTGTTTGTATCATCCACTCCATGTATGAAATGAGATTAGTTTTGGACCCTGACCCTTTTGGCTTTATGTTCACTTTTAAAAGATTGGACAAGTAGGAGATACATGGGCCGTTTTGGACCGGCATCCCACCGGACACCTCGCTCGAATCCAAACCCGTTCCTTTCAGAGACCGATCCAGACAGAGCGAGGCCTTGCTGGCTGGGCTCCGGCAGAACAAGCACATCACCGAGATGGATGTGGATTATGGCAACGATATCACCGAGAAGGCCCCCCGAATGTTCAGAAAAGAGAAAGGACTCCCATGTGCAGAACTTGTAGCTTGATGAGCATTTTTTGTCGTGGTTATAGTTGCCATATGTTGCCATCAAGGATGGCGACGAAAAACGTTGCAACGTGTGAGGACAGGTCCGTCGCTTCGACATGGCGCTTCGACATGCTTGCTTCATGTTTGCACGACAGGTCCGCAAGGGAATCCAGAAGGTGTTGACGGCGAATGGAGCACCTGGAGAGGCCTGTAAGAGTGTCAGGGTGTGTTGAGAAGAGTTCAGAAGTAACATGAATATACATGAATTAACTTTATACTTATATCCAGCTGGATGATTGACAAATCATGAAAACATGTTGCATGTTGCCATGACATATCGTGACATCAAGCAGTCAGTGACTGACCCCTCCTTGTGACAGACCACCTTCACGCGCTTCTGGAACATCTTCCCCAAGGCCTGGGGTGACGTCGCTGCCGCGACGTCCGTCGCACCCGAAGTCACCGGAGACCGAGGTCGGCCGTGTCGCCGCGCCCAGACCCGACGCCAAGGGCCCGAGCGCCTTTCCCTCGCCCCGGATCAAGGCGAGGCGATGCGAGCGCAGCGGATGTTCGGGCTGGGTAGAGGGAAAGAACGATGTAGAGGGGAAGTCTTTTGAGGCAGGCAATGTTCTATCCCATTTCGGCTGGTGCATGCTGGTGCTATAGATTTTGTTGATATTGTGTTGGTGCATGCTGTTGATTCCTGTTCTCTCGCCTGTTATTACTCGTTGCTGGAAATGATTATTGAACAGGCAAGGCTTCTACGATCTTGTCAACAGCCAGGATGCATTTCAGTTACGAGGTCTTTCGAACAACCAGTCCACAGCTAGTTCATGCTAGTTCAATCCATGTCAAAGATTCCTGTGTTTTTTTTGGTTAAACCCTTCAAGTCTTTTTTGTGTAAGGCAATTGCCTGCAAAAGCCTCAATCGGTATTTCAAGGACAAAGACCTTCGTCATGTTTACGTGACTTTTGTGCTTCCAGAAAGGCTGAATATGTAAACAAAAACCCTTTTGATAGCATGTTTTGTTGGGTGATCTTGCAAGTGTTTGTAATTTGACGCCTCCTTACAAAGAAGGACTCTTCAACAACGTCCTCCATTCCACCTTCGCTCTTCGCGCACGAATCGCAGGTGCAGCACGAATCGCAGAACTACCTCACGCGGAACATGTCCGTGACTTGGCTCTTCCTCGGCTTCCTCCACCTGGGCGACGCAGAAGCTCAGGCGCTGGCGGCGATGCTGCGGGAGAACCGGAGCCTCACGTGGATGAACCTCTGCAACAACCGCATCGGGGAGACCGGTGCACAGGCGCGGAAAAAAGAAGCGCGATGGTGGAGGTGGTTGGCTTTCCTTGTGGACAGCGGGTGGGTAGATCTGAGGTTTTGGACTTGGTGCCCCAAGCAAAGAGCTATTTATAGGTATTATATCGGCCGTGTAGCAGCAGCAAGCTTTGCAAGGGTTTGGATCGATGATTGGATGACAAAAACTCCGCTGTGGCTTTCCAACCCCCCATTATGCACAGCACAGCGCAAACGCAAGGAATAGCCCAAGCGCATCCATACAATCTTAATTCCAGTGTCGGTTCTAATAAGAACAGCCATGCGGAACAGAACACCAAACTCATGATTGCACAGCAGCAAGCAAGCTTAGGGTTTGGATGCATGGATGACAGTAATTGTAACTCCCCTTTGGCTTTCCAAAGTCCCCCCCAATAAACAGGTGAAGACTTGGACATTCCTGGGACAGCTAGCCACCGTGACACGAGTCCTCGCACGTCATGCAGGCTCTCCTGGACAGTTTGCGAGAAAACCGCCAGATCGTGTACCTGAATTTGGATGCAAATCGCCAAATCAGCGCAGAGGCTGATGGGTCACCTGCAGTTGTTTCGTGGGTCACCTGCAGGTCATGTCGGGGATTGGGGAGTGTCCCAGCATGGCACAGGAACAGGTGGACTTCGTTTGGATACACCTGAAATTCATCATGGTGGAAGTGGTTGGCAAACGGCCCAGATGTCGGATGACCATGAGTTCTCCGAAGATCAAACAGCATGGTTTTCACGAGCAGCATGATCTTCAAGGAGTGTACCTTTCACCTGCATGATCGTTCTATATAGAAAACCCTGGGAGCCCATGTTTCCCTGCCCAGCAGGTGCCCGAACGGTGACCGTACGGTGACGGTCGTCCGTACCCGGACCGCCGTCCGTGGATCCGCATCGTCGTGGCCCGAACGGTGACTGCGGATCACTCTTTCGCGGAACGGTGCGTCGTGAAGCCCACCGGACATCGGCGCTGCCGTTGGGGTTTGGGCAGGTCCTGAAGGAGATTCAGGAGATTGTGGCAAGCAACAAGGCACAGGTGGCGCAGCGGCTGTGCTTCCGTGGTGACGACATTGTGATGCCCTCCAGATTGGAACCCGAACACTTCTGTGTGGTAGAAGAATCTTCCTTCTGGGGGTCCAATTCAGCGTCCATGTTGAGGGGGTTAGACAACTCCAAGCATGTATATAACAGTAGTATAAGCCGGACCTGCAGATTCCTATAGGATAGATGTTTGTCGATTTGATTGATGCAGGCAGTGCAAGAAGCAAATACAAAACAAGAGGCTTCTGAGCCATTGCTGATTGAACGCGTTTGACGACATTATCGACTGAAGCCTGAAACCGAAGGCACAAAGACCTTTAATGGCTTCTGGCTTCAGCTATTGCAGCCATTGTGCTTTGACGTGACAGGGATCAACCCTGATACATCGCGAGAAGCACCAATTCGAAGGAGTCGCAGAGTCCTTGCTGCACCAGTCAGACTGCCAGCCAAGAAAGACCGCCAGACCTGCAGCCGGACCTTCAGTGCTAGTGAAGTTTGGTAGAGAATCAATTAGTCAAGAGATGTCAAGAGTATGGACCGAAACCAAGTCCGGTGGTTTTTGGACACTCCGACTCACGTCGCCTCAGAAACCACCTAAGGCAATGGACACCCCGACACCTCAGAAGGAAGGGTCCTGGAAGAGTATGGACCGAACTTTTGGACGTTCGAAAGCCATTGACAGATCGGAGCTAGTGGCAACGGTCTTTGAGACGGCTCAAGCGTGTCACGACATTCATTTTCGTATCAGGAAGTAGAAGCCTTTTTGCTGCGAAGGAACGCGGAAGAAAACACACTTCCAGGGTAAAGGAATACGTTCCTGCCCTCCAAGTGCCAAGTGGCTTGGTGGTGGGGGGAGTTCTTGATGAACCTACACATCTAATGATATATAATATATGAATGTATATTATATGATATCGCCACTCACTTGGTGAAGCGACGCGGATCCATCCCTGCATCGCCTGGTTTGGAACTTCAGGTCGATCGTGGCCTGGAACAGACGGTCTATCAGTCGGAAGGAATTCAGGTCTACCGTTTATTCGCTTCAAACAATGGCCAATTGCTCTTACTGTTTGCGCCCCCTGGCAGTTGTTAGATGTTCCACACTTAGCTGATGGCACCATGAGACCGGACCTGGCCGATAACAGCAACACAACCTGCTTTGGCCGATGTGGGGGTGACCCAGTGGAGGAGAACGAACGCAGTGTCTCTGGTCGGAGTCCGAACCCAAGATGCTTGGGTGCTTGGGCTTGACACCAAATGTGTAGCCAGCAGCTAGCAGGGTTGACCCTTGGGTTTGACCATGTTTGACCGTGTTTGACCTGTGATGTGTTCATCACGTTTCACCAGAGGTCTTCAAGTTCTCCTAGAGTTGTCATAAGGCTTTTGGACCAGGCTTTATGTCCATTGCAATGTAAAGCGGTCCCCCAAAATGCGGACACTTCTTTAGGACGGTTTCAATGAACCTCCCACCTTCGGAATCAATGGGACTTGTCCTGTTCGACGTATATTTGTTGAGATTATGCGGAGTGTTCAGATCATTTCTTGGAGCTCATGGAGATCCATCTTGGCCATAATTCTCCTCGTCCATTGATCCACAGTACGAGAGCAGGAGGGAGCTGTGGACGTCCATTCGCACCGTCACATTGGAGATCAAAGCCAACTCTCCAAGAATCCCTCGCATCGCCCGGCGTATTGTCCATTCTCCATGTTCGGGCCCCGTAGGTCGTGGGACTCGAACCGCCGGAACACGGAAAACCCGCCTGAGCTGCGGAGGCGGAGTTTTCCCTGGCGCGAGTGGTGAAGTCCTTGGCCAAGAAGAGGAGAGCGAGTGGTGAAGTCCGTTGTGCGAGAGCGAACTGAACTGGTGCATGACTGGTGTGTGGGTTGAACGATTCGTTTGTTGAGCTGAGTGGTTTGACAAGTTGGCGGGGTTCCACATAGTTTTGGGGGGAGTTTGTGTGGATGAGTAGCTGACTTTAAGATAAACAAATCAAAGATGGATATCTATTGTTTGGTGGTTTGACATTGCATCGACAGCATGTTGCCGTGTCATATGATGTCATACAGCCTCCCGTAACTTCATATAATTATATATGTTTTATCATTTTTTATTACATGTATATTTTGCAAGCCAACACATAGCCGGTTTCAGTTGACACTGATTGAAACAGTCGGAACATGTCTCATGTTTCAGAGAATAGAAAAACTGGTTTCTGGTGGTGAGTTGTGTTTGTTTAAATCGACGTCCTCGTTGCCTGTGGAGCTCTTTGGGCAGCAAAACAACACCCCCATGGCGTTAAGATGAGACACGATTTCAACGAGTTTCTTGTTGAGACACCATGTTCAAACAAGGTTTGAAGATCTTTGAAGAGGAAATGCACACTACTTTTCTTGTTGTGCCCGCTAGTCCGTTAAGTGTCTGGTGTTTATTCCGGTTGAGCAGATGTCATAAGAAGACAGCCGCTTTGGCATGCTCTGGCGGACTCCAAGGTGGAGCAAGATGTGTTGACCCCAAGTGGATCAACCAAAGAGGCGAAGAGGCGAGGCCGGGCTGGGAGCTGCAGCAGTCCCGCCATGCCCCTGCCGCGCAAGCATGTTGCTCAAATGTTTTCTTTTTTGACCGGGTATGGCCCCAGAGTTGTTCAGAGACCTGCAAAGCCTGGGTCTCAAGGCCCCAATAGTTCCAAATGATGTCGCAAGAAGGCAATGCTACATGCTGTTTGCCTCTCTTTGCAAGCTCTTCCAGTGAAAGTGATAGTGAAGAAAAAGAAGATTCGGCTGAAGACGTGGTTGATCTATGTAAAGACCCATCTAGATGTCGGGTGGATGGGCTGCTGGACTCTGGCATGTTGAAGGAATACACAACTAGCAGCGGCACCGTTGACTGCTCTAAGGCAATCCCAGTGTACGTTGATGTGTCTCCACAGGAGCTGAAATCGCTTGATGATGGAAAGGAGGAATTTGCAGTCGTCTTCGTCCTGAAGTTTTGGTGGCTAGATCGGAAGCTGAAAGACTTCCAGTCCAAGCTCACGCTTGAAAAGGAAGATGAAACAAGTGGCAGAGTCTACCTCCAAGAGATTGATGTCGTTGTCAGAAGTCTTGACAAGGATGGCACGTTGCAATATGAGGAATTGCCCTTGCAACAGGTTCCGCGGGTGTTGAAAGCCACCAAAGACATGTACACATATTTGGAGCCTCCCAAATGGGAGCACCACTTCTTTCCGGACTTCAGCTTCATCAATCAAGAAACCACAGATGAGCAGGTCAAAACAAAAGTCCAGCAGCTTGTTTGGTGTGACAAAGATGGTGCCCTTGTACATTATAAGGCGAAGTACGACACCATTTTCCAAGAGTTCGTGGAGCTGCATGCCTTTCCCCTAGACCGTCAACTGTGCCGTATCAAGCTCACAGCAGAGATGGGTTTGGACCAATTCCAGCTCATCACACTGAATTCGAACAGAAAACTTGCTAGGCTTTGTGACATGTGGGAAATGCCTGAAGACCTCGGACGGCCTGGGTGGCCATGTACCGTGTACGTGCGGCATCCCGATACCTGTTTACAAGATCCTGTGACACCTCGGTCTGTGGATGAGAAGGTGCAACAAGGGCATTCCACTAAGGTGACCCAACGATCTTTGGTCAATGTCGTTCTGCACGTGCAACGCAAACCCTCCTTCTTCGTACACAGCATTCTGCTTATGGTTAGCCTGGTCAATGCCATTAGCCTTTGCGCTTTTGCCCTTAAGGTAGACGATGCAGGGAGTCGACTTGGGTATTTGAGCACATGCTTTTTGGCAGTGCTGGCCTATCGCTACATTATCAATGACTCTTTGCCAAAGAAGTCTTATATGACTGCTGCAGGTTGGTTCATCACGCTGGCAAGCTTTTATCAGACGTGGTTGTGCTTCGAGACTGCTTTTCTAGCATTTTGGTGGTCACACTCAGACGAGAACATACAGCGGACCATCGAAATATGCGATTGGGCTCTAGGCAGTTTCACTTTCATTGCATGGTTGCTGTTCATTTTGTTCTATTGGTATCAGTGGCGAATCAGCACGTGGCGCCCATCATGGCAGGAAGTTTACCAGAAAAACCAGGAGCCGTACTGCCCGCTGGAGAAGTGCGACAGTTGTCAAAGGAGCTGGTTGGCGAAGCAGTCCGCACATCTCAGGCAGAACAAGACATGCCCAAAGTGTCAAGGAAGGGTCCAGACGACCTATTTGACCCCGCTGGACCGTGAGAAGCCTCTCATCCCATCGCTCCGAAATCGCGGCTTTGGGAACGAAGTTGAGAGCTATCTTTTGGAGTTCGGTTAAAACAAACGCCAGGCGCAAAGTACGTCTGGCCGAGCCAGGTGCAGTACATACTCCTGGCTGAGAAAGCCACTGCCTTGCGCAGTAAATGCGGGAAAGGTGCGATGCTGATTTATGTGTGAAAAATGCATGTTGTGTTGTTCTTGGCATCACAGACATGGCCTGTTAGCCAAGAGATGACATGGTGATGACCGCATTGCCACTATACAGATAGATAGACCGGAGTGCTCTTTGGATGAGATCTGTGCGTGCTGGTTTGTCACTATGTTTAATACATGTGTGGGAGGCGCTGGCGGGGATGCAAGCCTCACGTGGATGAATCTCTGCAGCAACCACATCGTTAACCAGGGTGCCCAGGTGGGTAGAGCGGGATGGGCGAAGTGCTTCTTGTGGGTTTCGTGCTGAGGACAAATTCATCAGTCGTCTTCTGTTGTCGACAGCTCTTGCAACACAACATGAAACAACTGGAAAGACCACGGTGCTCGAGGCACATGCCTCGACCACGCAAGCTTTGGACGTTTGATGTTTTCGGATGGTTGGAACTCTCCGGTGCCTGGGCTTTCCGGTGCTTGGTCACCCACAGCCTTCGCACGTCCCCCAGCGCCGGCTCCGGTCGCATTTGCAGGCTCTACTGAAAGGTGTGCGAGAAAACCCGCTAGCGATCACCTACATGAATCTGGATGCCGATCGCAACATCAGCCCAGAGGCTGGCTGGACCTGGGAGACCTTCCAACTGGAACGCGGAAACGGTCAGAGTGTGTTTTCGTTGGCCGGCGAAGGCGGGGGCGCCATTCGTGGAGCAGGTCTTGGAGATGCAAGAGATTTCCGTTCGGCCTCCGTGGTCGTACCGAACCTGACGAGAAGGTGGGACGACCGGGGCCCGGGTGCCAGGGTCGGGTCCAGTCATACCGAACCTCAGGAGGTACGAAAACGAAGGTGGAGGGATTGTCATCTTCGCATCGTTTGGCTGTGCAGATGTTTTGGTGTCTATCAAAGAGGTCTCCAAGCAGAGAAGACGCAGTGAGATGCTCCTGCGGCGGAGATGAAGGGAGAATGTTTCATGCCCAGAGGCTCATGGACCCCAAAACTGCTACATGTTGGTTCGGTCCAGTTCACCCTGGTTGTGAGGGTCAAAACCCTAGCGAACGGGTTGGGTTGAAACATTGAAGCCTTTGGGTGGTTCAACACACTGCAGATGGTGCAGTTTCATGTTTCTCCGCCTCGCCGCCTCTCCGCTGTGTTTTGACCGTGCCTTGCATGGCCTCGAACCGTCGGGTAAAAGGACGACCGTGCCGGGAGTGAGGCCGCCGAGTGAGGCCGGATGGACGGTTGGTATTTGCAGAAGAGCCATCAGCATCATGAAAGTTGGTGGATCATCTACATCATCAACCCCTGCGGCCCATTGATGAGAGTAGAAGGTATCGACATAGATAGATGTTGCGCCCTTACTTACCTGAGTTGTGCAGTCTGTGTCAGGAACCTGGAAGTAGAATTCCGCGAGGATACTAGTAACGTAAGACATCAAGTTCCAGGATGTTGCAATAGCATGTGGCATGTGTTTGCTAAGGATTCCCAGGATTGTGAGGGATCTACAGTACAGGATATATATTTGACAAATCAAATTCCCTGGTTAGGATGATGTCAGTTTGATGACGTACGGGATGATTGGCGACTTGAGAAACCAACAGGGGCGGTATCCTGCACTGACTGCGCTGACGTGGTCGCCCGTTTGGGATGACTCTGGACAGGCCGCATCACCTGGAATCCATGGATGAGTGCAGAGACCCCTGAGGCAGGAAGATCACAGCAGCTCTCCGCTGCTTCTGCTGCCGCGAAAAAATCAGTTCACAGAGTTCATGAACTCGAAGAAGGGGCTAAGGAAGGTCCTATATGAATTAGCTGTGTAGTGGCTGACATATCTAAAGGCATTCCCAGACAGGTCTCATGTGTCGTAGCAATCAGCACCATGGCGATGCTGCGGCGGCCTCCGCGCCGCCCATCATCCGAGCTTTGAGGCCATGGAGGGGAAGGATGCTGTGAGGGAGGTTGCGAGGTTTGGCGATCTCAAAGGAACTTTGAGTGAAGGAGAAAGTACAAATGACTCATCAGATCTCATCAGTCAGTGCAATTTTCATGTAACTCTCGGAGTGTGACTATCAGATGCCCAGTTCACAAGACCTCGCTTTCAAGTGCTGAAGGCTGATGGGGTCGCAGTGCCTGACCAGAACCTTCTGAGTCACAAAAAGGGTCAGAACTGCGAGCGTGGCACGAAGTCCTTGTCACTGCCCAAAGTGATTGCTCAAAGTGGACACTGTGCTGCTTTGCTGGGGGCAAGGCTAAAATATAAATATATGCTATAGTTTGTACCAATTTAATACCTGCCATAAAAGGCTCTAGGGCTCACCTGAGTTCACAATCTTTACGGAACCTGAGCATCCGCGGTGGCTTGTGTGTATGACGCAAATCGCATTATGCTCCATCAAATTTTTGTTTTTCTGCCAGTTCCGGTTTCATGACGCTGTTTCACTAAATACAGAGGTTGGGGTGATCATGTCTTTCCGAAAGCCACTCGTTCCAGCACTGAGGATTCCAGTGATGTGCGCACCCCTACGCGCCGTGAAGTTCGGCCTGCTCTTGCCGCAGCGTCGATGGAAGGTTCAGTCTCGTTGGAGTAGATTTCTTCAAAACAAATCGGCTCAGAGTGAAGAGACATTGAACTTGGTAGTTTTTGCTCTATGATTGGCCCGGGCTCGGTTTTTTTGGGTGTTGCAGCCAAAGATACTACGATCTATCTCCCATGAGCCCTGCACATCTGCAACGCGCTGCGCAGCCGCCACATGTGGGGGTAACCCAGAATCACTGGACCGGTCGAGGTGACCGTCCGAGAACGTCTGCAGGGTGAGACCTCGCAGGTCTGCGGATCTTGGCACTTTTCACCAGAGAACTCTGTAACATGTGCATCATTCAAATGGACCCCCAATTGTACAGTTACTGTATATTAAACGGAGGGTCCGACTGTAGCAGTCTTATCCTATGTCAGAGGGGGGCGATAGAGTTTGGAGCGTCCAGCAATAGCACCAACTTCAAATCATGTGTTGGGTGCTGGGGATTTGAGGCCTGAGCTGCCAGAAGTGGAGTTCTCACGGCGCTTGGTGCAGAAGTCTTTGGCCAAGAAGAGGAGAGCGAAGGGATGGTTGGTCGGTGTGTTGTTTGGCTGACTGGTTGGTGGGTTGCATGATTTGTTTGTTTAGCTGAATGGTTTCGTGGTTGGTAGGTGTATGTCTGCCTAGACACCCCTTGGAAGCTAGTAATGATCCACTCAAGAAAGGACCAATAGAAGATGGATCTCCATTTTTTCTAGGTGGTGTTGAACTTTGTTCATCAACAATTGCATGTTGCTGCCCTTTTGCGTCATGTCTTCAATGGTGCAAACCTTGTGGTCGAGATACTGGAAACTTCACAACATCGGTCCTGACGCTTCAATGCACCTATCTACGAGAATTCCGTTGCATGTGATGAAGGGCTGGTAGACTTCCATCAAAGAGAGTCAAATTCAGGATTTCAGCCGTCAAGGTGGCCAACGACAAGATTGTTTGCCAGGCGCCAGAGTTATAACTGGGAGTCATTGTTCAGATAGAAGCCCAAGAAGTTGAGGTTGTGTAATTGACCATGCTATGAACATGTCTATTTCCTCGTAGTTCATACCATATCGAGCTGAGACACTACATAAAGGCCTTTGTTCACAACAACACGCTAGGCTAGGTCCCTTTTCAGATGGGATCTCCCATGGGTCGGCGTCAGCGCGACATGTTGGGTAGGTCCCAGCTGGACGCTTGAAAGCCCTAAAGGGGCGAACGGTGAAGCAATGCAGGCGGGTCGAACACGCAGCAAACCACACCGGAACACGCGAACACGCCGCCCAACGACGCCAAACGACCAAGGGTGGGTGGTTGGGGTGACCAAAGGAATGTGTGAAGCAGATTTGTACTGTTTGATGAACAATCGGGGTGTTGAACACCGACCATTTGGGTCTGGACGTATGGATGACCTTGCACAGAAGGTTTTGGCCGTGGTCGAAGACCGGTCGTTCAGGTCGTCAGTTGGTTGTTTTTCAGGTCGATGTGGACGGCGAACAGACCTGGACTCCTGTTTGGGTGGCCTTAGTGGACTAGATAGATGTCCCTTGGACGCCGGACCTGGGATGACCTGGGTACGTATTAACGTATTATAATGAAGATATCCGATCGATCATGAGCATGTATTTTGGGTCTGTCAGAACTTACCTGTAACAGTCCCTAGGGATCCAAGTACCTTCTCAGAAGGTACTTGGACCCTCCAAACCTACATAACAGTGCCTCCAATCACCTTCTGAGAAGGTACTTGGATCCCTAGGGAGTCAGGTTTCACAAGCACATCACTATTTTTGGGACAAGGCCTTAACACTAACACTAACCATCATGCATCCACCTGGGCCCAGCTAGACTCGGATAGACCCATGCAGCATCGTCAGATGTGGAGCATGCAGCATCGTCATCACGGAACCAATTCACCTTTACGGGGTGGGAACCTCACGGTGCGGAAGGGCCATTCAACTGACGGCTATCGAGAGTTGTTTGGGTTCAGCCACATGTTTCAGTATGTCATACGGGTCATACGTACCATAGATATGTCATATCTTGGCACTAAGTTGGATATCGTTCTCAATTGTCGGTCTCTAGACTCGAGTGGTGCAGAACTACTCTGGGCAACGCCTGCTGGTCTTGGTTGGCCCGGCGCAGCGCGTCGCCTGGCGCGTCTCGCGCGGCCGCAAGAGCCAGGCGTTGGGGGAAGCAGCTTTGGTTCGAGATGGACAAGGGGTCGGAGGCCTCGGACGGAGCAAGGAGGTCGCAAGGACGAGCTGACGGGATTTCATCGGGGTTCTGCAGTTTTTGCAAGGAGACATCAAAAGTGAAGGGTTTAAGTATGGTTTAACTATAATATGCGCACTGATCTGGTTTCAATGATTTAAGTTCTTATTGCTTTTATGATGTTGCTCGGCTCTAACTCAATTGTTATGTGCCATGATTTCGGTCTCCAAGGACTCCAAGGACATATTATCTTGCGAAAGACTCGTGCCACCATTTGGCCTCGATACTGTCTTGCTGCTCCGCGGAGCTGGTCGCAACACACCTGGATGCATGGGCAGAAAACCACATGTGTCTTGTGTCATGGTGCTCTCCCAAAGACATGAACTATACCCGCTGCGGAAAAAAGGGATCGCGAATGGACAGCCCTACTCCATCATACATCTAGACTCTTTAGAGATGAGATGACTGATGATAGACCATGGTTGTGTGGAATGCTTATAGTGATGAACTTGCATCCTGGATGTGTTTCCCTGGATGTGTCTCCTCGATTCAACTGTGTTGCTTGTTGACCATGAAACCACTGTTACTAGTCGCTGTACAATCGAGCACAAAGAGGGTCCTGTTACAGTCCTGTTCAGCTGAAGAGTCACAAGAGTTGCAAATAGTTGAAACATGTTGCAATACTTGTACTCTGAACACCTTGGAAGCTTTCATAGAAACCCAAACCATAGTCCACTTTGTGTGTGTGAGTGACTGACGGACTGAGTGAGTGAGTGAGTGAGTAAGAGTGAGACAGACCATCTGCTGCTTGTTTCCTTCCAAGTCAATTCGTTTGACAAACCCTGAGGCAAACACAAACGCTGCATCCGATCGTCGGTGGCCTCAGGCCATCGCCGATGTTTCACTTGGGCATGCGAGGGGCCTCAGAGCTGGATCGAACCGGTGCGTTGCACGGCTGCACGGCTGGAGAATGAGCACTGTTGAGGTTATGTTGAGGTATATAGTTAGGCAAGTTAGGTATACCACTAGAACTTCCGTAACTTGACTTATGAACTACCCCACCAGGTAGTCATGCTGCACCACTTGTTGGAGGTTAAATGAGGCATGACTGGACTTCGTGGTCCCGTTGGCTGTGGCTGCCCAGAAATGCTTTCTTCCCCGATGGGCTCCATCTTTACCTCGATCCGCTTCGCTTTGGGCGACTGGGGTACTGTGCAAGAGTGCCAGGAGGCAGTACTGGGAAGCCTTGTATAAGGGGTTTCTACGGTCGTTCGTACAAAAATGGCTCCTTCCACCTCTCCAGATCGACTGGTAGGCCGAAGACAGCTCCAAACGCTGAGGACGGGAAGTTTCCATGTGAAGGGTCGGAACAGCCTGAAGTACGTTCGCCTCAAGGAGGACTGGACCGACGTGCGCGGACGCGCTTTCGGAGGGGTGGAGGGTGGCATCGTACCTGGACTCCTTAGGGCTCCAAGTACCTCCTCAGGTTCGGTATGACTGGACCCTCTAAACCCTCCCCAAACACCTTCTAAGAAGGTACTTGGAGCCCTAGGGGACATGATCCATACTTTTGGGACATGATCACTCGACCCTGGGGTTTGGGTTCGAAGCAATCCCTTGGGCTTGGAACCTGTCCGGCTCCGGAGCGTCTGGGTTGCACTTTGTTTTGCCATGTATGCTTGGGTTTGGAACCCGTCCGGCTCCG